TTCTTTTTAAATTAAAAAACAAAATAATAATTTATGCACAAAGTTTGCACGAACTTTGAAAAGACTGAAAAAAGAGCATGATTATTTATTTACAAAATAAGAAATGTTCCTTCCTCACAGTTTTTCTATTTTGTAAATAAAAAAAAAATCATGCTCTTTACAAAGTTTGCGCATTAATTATTATTTCGTTTTGCACAAACTTTGTAAAGAGCATGATTACCTACAAAATAAAAAAAATGCTAGAAACGAAATGATAATTAATGCGCAAAGTTTGTAAAGAGCTTTGGTCATTAATTATTATTTCCTTTCTTTCTAGCATTTTTTGTTTTTGTAATGTTATTTTGTAAATATTCATGCTCTTTACAAAGTTTGCTCATTAATTATTTGTTTTATTTTTAATTTAAAATAAAACTTTACAACAGTTGTCATTGCTTTTCTACACAGAAAAAGGGTTTCACTATAAAAAAAAACCACTTGTCATCGCTTTCCGACGCAGTTTAAGTGCGCATTAATTTAGACAAGTATGATCAGTTAAGAGCAGTAAAAACGACCGTTAATTAAGCTTCTGTGTGCAAAATGTTCTGCAGTGAATGTAGTTAAACAAGGCCAGTAATGGTCTACAGCTGAACGCGACTGAGTCCAAACCTCTATTGTCGAATTACTTCAAAATGGTTGGTTTTATCAAAATTTAATTATTATTTTAAGTTCAGCATGTAACTTTAAAATAGAAATATGACAATTTGGAAATAATTTTAATAGATAGAGCAGGACTTAAAAAGCAAATTTACCCCCCCACACACACACACACCAAAAAAAAAGTGTTTTTTTTTTTTTTCCCTTCAAAGACCAAGTCCACAATTTTTATTATTTAAAAAATAAAATACAAACTCTCTTATTTTCTGATTCAGTGCATAGAGAGAGATAAAATGAATTTTTTAATAAAATTACAAATTACAACTAGTTTAATTTCTCCAGAAACTCATCTTTTCTAAAAATGTAAATATTTTTAGAGAGTTCAAATGGTATTTTATTGAGAAATAATATATGGCTATGGTTGATGGCGTAAGGAAATCATTTCCAGAAATTTTTCTTGCTAAATTCCCTGTTAATTTCATAATTGAATAAGTACTGAATGTAGTTCACTTTAGTACTATTTCTATTGATTAAAAAAAAAAAACTCTTCAAAGACAAAATTTTCCCATTCTGTATGTTGAACAAAAATAATTTTTTATATCAGTTTTTTTTTTTTTTTTTTTTTCAATCCTTTTACTTTCGAATGAGAAAAAATATTATGATAAAAAAAAATACATTTGACAAGTTTGGAGATTTTATGTCACATATTCCCTAAAATCTTTTAAAATAGTTACTTTAATAATTTTAAAGTAATTACTAAATTAAATGACATCTTATCAACAGTTTATTAAAAATATTACTTACTTTATGACATTTTTAGTTTTACTAGGTACTGCCACGGATTTTCTTAAAAAAAAAAAAATCACATGCCTTCTTTGAATTTAAATTTTGGTTCTAATTTAGAAAGATAATGGTTTCTCTAGGTGTCTCCAATAATTCGCTGGAAAAAGAGCATACCATGATGAAAAATGCCCCAAACTTGATAAAAACAGTTTTATTGTCAAAAAATGTTAAGAATAAAAGGAAACACTTAAGTATTTTTTTTTTTTATTTCATTATTAAATTTTTCAATCTTTTCTAACACGTTCAAAATTTTGGCAGCAAAGGAAATTTTAGCATCTTTTTGTGGTAAAATAAGATTGGTTTGGAAATTCTTGCAAAAATCAAATAATTATAGGATTTTAATGAAACTTTCAGGACTTAGACAAAAAATTAATTAAATTATTTTATTTTTTTTTTTTTTTTTTTTTTTTTTTTTACAACTGTTACCCCTCCTTACATAATTAGTGAAATTTCCAGAAATTAAATTTTGTCCCTCTTCTTATTTATATTAAAAAATAATTTTTTTTTCTAAACAGTTATTCATTTACTGAAAATCTCTGAATGGGATAAAATAAAAATGCAATCAAACTAAGACATTATTTAATTAGAAAAGCTTTTAATTGCTTTTATTAAATAAGATATAAGGACACTACTGAATATTGTGATAAGAAAAAAAATTTTGATGAATACTGAATTTTTACAAGATTTTTCTTTTTTTTGTTTGGGTTTTAATTGTTTAACTAGAATAACTTAAGTCTTAAATATTTTTAATCTTTTAAAATTCTGTATTAACCACTTTTAGATGATATTATTAAGTGAAAACTATGTTTTCTAATCATAGATTGAAAAGCTTTAGTACAAATCCTCAAACAAATATTTTTAAAAGATTTGTGTGTGTGTGTGTGTGTGTGTGTAAAAATGTGCCAATTTTCTATATACAGTTAACCATAGGCAACATTATCAGAAAATAAGTGATAACTATAATAAATTTACAGCCAAAAATATGAGTGCTTAAAAATTATAAAAGGCACCCACATTAATTAAATTACTTTTTTTTTAATGCCTAAAGCCCCCCCCCCCCTCCAAGAACAACATTAGATAAATATCAGGCTTTCAAACACGTGAATGACTTAAATAAAGATCTACTGTCAGGTTAAAAATGCATTTCTGTGATATTTTAAACTTAATAGTTGTTTCAAAACAAATTAATTATACTTTAAATCAGCTAATATTCCTCAAAGTTTCAAAAAATCTATTTATTTTTGGAAGATTTTTAATAAAGAAAATTACATTGTAATGGAAGACAGGTAAAAAAGGGGCACTAATCACTTTAGCAAAAAAAAAAAAAAATATTTTCAAAGTTTATTCAATAAAATATTCATTCACTAATGAAGATGTCCTAAAAATTTTGTTTTGATCGAATAATTCCCTGACTTTTTTACAAATATTTTAAGATGGTGGGAGTTTTTTTTTTTTTTTTTTTTTTTTTTTTCATTGCTGGAGTGGGAACGTATCTATTTTGATGGCACCTATTTTTTTCACTTAACCAAGTGTTATAATTTTTCTTTAATAACCTTTTTCCTATAAATTTTTTATCCTAATCAAAACTGATTTAAAAAAAAAACAAGGGGAAATAAAATTTAATGTCAGTTTTCAGGTAAGGAATTATCATTATTTTATGCCTTATTCAGATAACATTGACTGCAATTTGGTCATTGTACCCTCAGACAACAATTGGGTTCATTCAAGTTTCTACTTTTTTTTTTTTTTTTTTTTTTTTTTTTTTTTTTTCTTGGATTGCAGCCAAGACGAGCCTACTGGTTCGAATAGTAGAGCGTATAGGTACATTTTATTTGCTGACAACAAAATCCAGTTTTGCTACACACAAAATGGTTTTTATGACTATCATCCAGTTTTCCTCTTTGCATGCATTTTTTTGTCTCTTCCTGACTAATGAAATATTAATAATTTGTAACTGGTCTATATTTATACTGTAGTCTTATTAGTCTACCTAGCTAATATATGGTGAGTATAAAACTGGTGAGTATAAAATATGCCTTGTTAACTTACTACCTGCAGATCTGTTAATGATTCTATTAGTATGGAGAAAAATTTATACTAGTCATTGGCAATAAATGTTCCAACATAAAACTTTCAAGTATTTACACACAGGAAATTTTACATTTTAAACCTTCCATTGAATGGTCATTATATGATATTAGAATTAAAATCTGTATTAAACAACAATTGTATGTGTTATACCTGACGTACCTATTCTATTATTAATAGACTCTCCCACACATAAGTAGTAGCGGTCGCCAGTTGGGCTCAGTGGTGTTGAGTGAGTCAGTCGATATCGGACATTGAAGTACCAACCATCACAATTAGATTGCTGCGTCATTAACTCTTATTTCCAAGTTCCTAACGTTTTATAAGTCGAACCTAATTTAGGACGACTTATTGAAATACAAGCCTCCACTGTGAAAACTACTCTACAACAGTATGGCAGAAGAGGAATATACCTCAATAAGAATAACCTTTCTGAAGTGAGCTCGTGTGTGTTAGTGGATATTGAAGTCAACACCCAGAAGCAACCGTCTTTCATGCTAAACGAAATTGTCAGGCCATGACGTTTAGCATGAAAGAGACTGTCATGTCTGGGTGTTGACTTCAAAGTCCACTTTTATATTTACATACACTCTGTCCCTGATATTGAGCACTTTAACCTATAAATATTTAAAACTATACTTTATTATATTATATATATATATATATATATATATATATATATATATATATGCCAGCTACATAAAACTAAATATTTCTTTTTGTATTAAAATTATTGATAAGACGTTCAAAAAAAACTTTGTATGTTTCATGACATGACTTTTTCTTTGATGCATTTTGCTGAAAGAAATTTTTCCTTTAAAGAGAAAGTAATTTATTAAGGCAAAAATGTTTAAAATTTAACTAATTTCTGAGTCTTCTACAGTAAATTTATGTCCATGGATATACGTCATATCACTTCTTAACATACAGATTATTTTTAAAAGATTTTCCAATTGTAAAAGTACGTCCTGACACTTCTACAATACTGTGTTAGTTAAATACTTTGTTCTATTTTTATCAGTGTGTCAAATTGCTTTTTGCTGTTGATTCTATTGTGACATCTGTCATTAGCTTGCATATAAAATTTTGTTATTTCTTGATTCTAACACTAAAGATGGAATAAAATAAGCAACATACTTGATATATTGAGTGTTTCCTTCCTATTTTAAGGAATGTAAAAATGCAACTGAAACACCCAAATTGATTCATGAAGTAAATGGATAATTGAACATATCAACAGTTTTATGTTGAAAATTATTTGTTGAATGATGTTTGGCAGACCACTTACGGTTGATAACAGTAGCATAAATACGAGAACAGAACAGTCCATCTAATACAGTTTGAAGACAATTGATATGCTCAAAATATCCAAATCAATATTTACATTATTTATTATTTACATCCTCATCTTTGTTATTATCACAATGGTTTGGGCTTACAGCCACATCATGTTGAAACACTGGTTCCTGTACGATCACTGAAGTTAAGGTGTGTTGAGCTTGGTCAGTACTTAGATGGGTGACCGCTTCGGAATACTAGATGCTGTATGCTTGGATGTGTGGGTAGTGTAATGGATAATGGCTTGAAATTGTTAATCGAAGTTCCAATTCCTGGTGGGTTCATTTTATTCACTTACTAGCAGCGTGGCCCGGCGTTGCCCGTGCTTGATTCAAAAATCGTGCGACTCGTACAGCAATTGATATCACTTGACTTAAAATAATTTTGCCCTTCCTTGCCTTTAAAGGAGTGCCCTTTGCTGTGCTGATGTTGCTACGTGCCTTACTTCTTGTCTATCTCACTCAATTTTTTTCTAAGCTCTATACTAAACATTAAATCTGTTATGAAAAAAGAACTAAACAAAATGAACACAAAGCGATCAAAAAAAAAAAAAAAAAGGACTCAGAACTGGAAGAACCGAATGAAAAAAGAATGTTAACAACAAATGCTTTTTTCACACCCAACCCAGTTCTGCGGAATCAGAATCAGCGTTGAGTTTAAGCAAGCGACTGAGCCAATTGGAGTAAAGTGCCATGCAGAATTAAATTTTTCCCACTTGTGACAAATGCAGCTATCGATTTTTTGCATGTTAGCATACTAGTTAACATTCGTGCCAGTCAGCTGTTGGCTCTCACGCTGGCCAGTAGAATCTTCCTGCCTATTCGGCCAGTAGAAAATGGCCGCAAACTACATGAAAACTGCCATAGAAGCATGAAAAAATCGATTATTTCCACTATCGATGAGAGTTGGGAAATGAAAAGTCAGTCTTGGCCTGCCCGCTAACTTTGTGCATGTAAATTTTGGTGCAAATCCGTCGGAAATTTCAGCCGTGCATTCGTTACACACATCCTGCCTTTTATATTTATATTTATTTATATATATATATGTCGGCTGCTGTTAGCATCGTAGCTGGTTGGCAATATCTTTTGGTTGATGACTAAAAATAAACTTCCGCATTTTGACTGTACACATGGATTTCATTTGGACACCATGTGTATTTAAAGTAATTTCTGGTTATTATTTTTAGTTAGGAGGACTTGTGTATGTTTAGGTTTCATTTGTTTACTTTTTGTGTATCGTTCTTTGAAAAAAAAAAACGCTGAGTCACCAGAAGTTAATAGCATTTGGACGTTTGAGTAGCTAGCAGTAACTTCCGGCCAGGTGCAATACCCTTAATCGTGCTTTCAAATTGATTTTGTGCAAAAACAAGTGTGTTTTTCCAATTTTTGGCGCTGTCAGAACCACCGCCAGATAATTTTACATAGTCCTGTGAAGTTTTGTTGAAATTGGTTGAAAAATTTAGGAAATACAATCACATATATAAATGTACACACACACACACACACTGCGTTTTATAATAAGTAAGATGCACAAATACCATTGGGAAAGGTATGAATCCATCTCTCCTTTCCCCAGCTTTGGGTGAATTCAGGGTTGCCAAATTTGATGGGGTGAATATGTGTGAGAGCCAACCATTTTCTCTTAGCATTCTTTAAACCATTAAAGTTAATTTGCATTTAACTATCTTATGAAAATTTTATTGCAAATGGCATATTTTCATTTCTTCACATGGATGACAAATAAATTTAAACAGGTCTTACCAAAATGACTCAATCTGTCATGTCTGAAGCCCATATGAGATGAAGTAAAATATGTCTGAGAAAAAAGAACTTCCAGGAAACAATAATATATTCCAGGTTAATCTTAAGCATTACATATTATTGGTAATTAATGTTGTCTGTCAACTTATGTTTCTATTCATGTTTTTAACTTAACACCAAGATTCATCTTATTAAGTAGAAAATATAAAGTGACACAAGTCCAAGTGTCCAAATATATTTATAACTGATTTTGAACAATACAAAACAAATTTAACAAATTTAATTCACTATGATTTTAGAATTTCTTCATCTCAGATGACCAAAACAAATAACTTTCATGCACCAATGTAAAGGGTGATATTGAGATCTGGACTTCAATATGTAGACCAAGTCTTGTCAAAAGGCAGTGATTTTAGAAATTGGCTGGAAAAGGCCAAGGTTAGGGTCACAGAGTATGGCCACACAGTGTTGCTGCCATCTTTTGGTAAAACATGTAGTTGCATTTTTTAGGTGTGTACTTTACATACTCTGATGATACTGGCGAGCCATAAGTGACACATTCTATGACAGAGGATGGGGGCCATGTGAAATTTGACTTTGGGTGGGCGGTAATTGGGAGATGCTTGGCTTAGATTCTAAAAATATTTTCTGGCTTTAAATAACCTGCAAAGGGTTATAAACTGTAGAAAATGAATCAATCAAATCAAATCAAACAGTGGTTCAGCCATTGTGATTTCTGGACATACCATTTGTTCTGGGTAACCTTCAAGGAATTTCAAACTGAGCTCTTTATTTAATCTGTGGGGATAGTATAATCTTGTTCTGCTGGCCATGTCTTGGAATATCTTGTCTGGTTCTTACTTAAATACTGCTCAGTTATTGCTGAGTGCAGGTATGCACTGCACAGCCCAGCCCAGGGATTGAACTCACAATTACTGTCACAAAAGCAAAAGAGCATAATATTCCACCAAAATAATGTTAAACTAAATGCTTCTTTGATGACCAGGTAAAAATTATTCATATTATATACACTTGAACTATTGTCCTCATCTTTGCCATTATTATCATAGCATTTTGACCATTATGACCTCCATCTTTTTTGATCTAGGGTCCCTTCAAGAAATTTAAAACTAAACCCTTTAATTAATCTACAGGGACAGATTGTTCTAGTTTATCTGACCATGTCTATGGATAGCTATTTAGTACTGTTCAGTTATTGCTCACTGTGTTTCCACTGAATCCATATAAACACTGCCCAGATTTTGAACTTATCAAATTCACAAACAAATGCTTTAATCCACTAGGCTTTGTCCCTGTTGGACAATCCTTAGTGTAGAACTTTGAGCCTTAAACCTAATCTGCCTAATCTGATGCAACTGTCAATGCAGTTGAAGCCTTCTCTCTCTTTATTTACGACCCCCATATTGTATTTATTCCTATGCTAGACCTACTAAGGAGGTCCTGTCTTAATCAAATATTAAGAATTGCTCACACCAGATTGATTATATTAGTTGCCTTTTTTTTTGCATAAATAAAAATGTTGTTTGTTAAGCAATGTGGAGCAAATGAAATGAACTGCCACTAACTACACCAAAGGACAGTCTTTGTGGTGACCCCGGCCCAAATTAAAATAAGGCATTTGCTTTCCTTTAAAAACTCCCTCTCTCACCACTCTGTCTCAAATAATGAGAAGGCAACCCTCAAATAAAAAAAAAAAATGGTAGAAAAGACTTGACAACAGCTCCAAAGCAGAAGTCTGTTGGTCCAGGATCTGGTTATTGTGGCTAGAAATCAACCAAAATAAGTGAGGCTCACCTGTAACTTCTGCTAGAAAAATAAAGAAACACCAAAAAATAAAAGAATTTTGGCCAATCAAAAAAATGAAGAGACTTAGGTGAAACCAAGCTTAGTGTCAAGTAGTCTGGAACCTTTCTTAAGTGTATATAAAGGGACATTCAACAGATAGCAGGAGAGAAGGGACAGTCAAGCATGTCACATAAAGCTTATGAGTCCTCTGTTTAAAACATTTTTGCAGGTTGGAAATAACACAGCAGATTGACATCTGCAACAAGTTCCCAAAGTAGCCACACTCCCAACTAATACCAAGGTTTTACTTGTAAACTCTCAACTACCATGCCAAATGAACATTCACCAACCCAAATTACAAAAGACTTGCTCCAACTGAAATCAAATAAATAAACATATATTATTTGTTTATATTTAATTCTGTTTATTTCTGAAGTTTCTGATAAATAGTACTAAGAATCTTTGGCACTTCTCCACATCATCATCCTAAAGAGGGCAATACTACATGTATGTTTAGATGGATGTCCCTTCTGGAGAATCAACTGAAGCATTTGAACATGTACTGTTCCCAATTATACTAACTGAAGTCAGCAATTGAGAAAAAAAAAGATATGTGGGTGGTGTAAGGGATATAAGTGTGGAATATGTTCTAAAAAATTGTTTTAATAAAGATTTTGTAAATTTCAATTGACAGTAACACTGTCTACTTGGTCAAGGAATGCTGAATATTTCCTTATAAGGAAATGGCTAATATAACCATTTATTCTGGTTTTTTACAGAATTTTCACTGCAGTTAAGCAACATCAAACCTGGTCAGTACCTAGATGGGTGACCTCTTGGGAATACCAGTTGCTGTAAGCTTGGATGTGCATGTGGTATAACGGATGATGTCTCATAATTGTTAAGCAGGGAACTGAGTTCAAATTCCAGTTGAGTTTGTTATATTCACTTATGCGCAAGTACCCTTGGGAAAAGGTATGGATCCATCTCGATGGGTTAATTAGTAAGACTTGTATCATTAAATTATTAGTATCTCAAAAAAAAAAAAAAAAATTCTTGCAATGTAAAAATATTTTCTGCCTGTAAATAACTTGCAAAGTGTTGATAAGACATAAAAAAAGGAGTCAATCAACTGTTTAGTTTCCATAGAAATAAATAGGTTTTACTTTTGGAGCATCCCTTGTATCCATTGTTCAGTAAAATTAATGTCAATTTTTTTTTTTTTTTTTTTTTTGTGCTATCTAAAATTAATCCTGTCTTTTTTGCACTACTAAAATAGAAACTGCAAAAGAAATACAAAGTACCTTTCCTTGTTGGCCAGAGGAGAAAGAGCACACTTATGAATCATGTTTTCTATACACTTATATTCACTATAGCTATAACTACCATTCATCCATGCATTGAATATTTTGCTGTCATATCTGGTCTGGTCCCTTCTGCTATGTAGTTAGATTCTTGATAAATCCAAAGAATCTGTAATGTTATCAGTCCTGACTTAGCATCTCAGTTTCAGTCACTTCCCCATCACCATAACATAGCTTCTGTGTTCCATAAATATTTTCATGGTAATTGTTCTGATATGTTTTCCTCTTTGGTACCTCGACTTTACAAATTTAAGCATAGTACTAGATTGGCAGTTAGGTCT